CGAGGCATCCCAGGCGCGCCTGGGATGCCCCGCCACCGGCTTCCCCCAAGGCTTTGCAAAGCCGCGGAGGGGCTTGGGCTGCCCCGCCGCCTGGATAACCGGCGTATAAGATGACCCCCGATTTTTGGGGGATGTTTTTTAACATCAAAAGTCGTCTTGTACGCTGGTATATACGGTAAATAAAAGCATTTGAAAAGTCTGCAAACATGATGTAATTTCTTTGGTGGTAAATACACACTCAGAATTGAGCAACTCAGTTCATAGATTAAGAGTGCTCCTGGATTTCTCACTGATGCTAAGTTCTCACATGGCAGCATCCACAAGTAAAGTTGTCTACCCTCTGTGGTTGTCTAGGAGACTCCTTTCCCTCATGGTGAACAATGGCCTAGTCTTAGTTATATAGACCTTTGTCATTTCCCATCTGGACTACAGCAATGCAGTGTACCTGGGCATAAAGCCTTCAGTCTGTAGGAAATTCCAACTCGTATACAATGTGTCCTCAGCAACATGGGCTACCCTGTACACATAAGACCTATCCTCCACTTGGTTTCCTACAGAAGAAAATCAAGTTCAAGATCTTGGTTGTTATTTTCAAGGCTTTCAATGGCCTGGGCCTAGCCAATCTAAAAAGATAAACTACAATTCCAGCATGAAGACTATGGCTGACAACTCTGCTCTTCAGGGCCAGGCATAATGACATTTCTACCATAAGGGCAAAGCTCATCCATACAGTAAACTGAGCTTTCTCAGGGATTAGTCGGAGACTGGAATGAATAGGAGGAAGTAAGGGCCTACAGCTAATCTCACCACCTTGTACTCCAAGTGAAAGGCACACTTCTGCTTCCCCCCCCCCATACAGATGTGTACACTTAAACAAAATAACCCCATACCAAAACAAAACCAACTGCACTGCACTGCACATACAATTCTCTTACTGCAGAGAGGACCTCAGAGCGTTAAAATACTATGATGGACTCAAAGAGCAGTGAGGTGCTATGATGATGATAGCAATGTACGAAACTGCACAGAACAGACTATTTAGGGAAGTGGTGAGCAACCTGCAGTCTATGGGCCTCACACAACTCACTGGGGCCCACCTGTGGTCTGCAGAACCTCTGGTTGCTCCCCTCCCCCACGCACTTCATGCATACTGGGACACAGAACCCCGCACTTACCTGCTCCTCCCCATACCTCCCAGCACTTTCAGAAGAGTCGCAAATTGCCTGATTTGTGATCTGTCCCTACTCCAGCCTCTCCCTACCAGAGCTGAAATGCTGTGAATAGCTGATCCACAGCAGTCCAACTCTGGGAGGGAAGAGCAGGAGCATGGATGGCACATGAATCACGTAATTTGTGGCTCTGAAAGTGCTAGAAGGATGGGGAAGGAGCAGATGAGTGAGGGGTTCCAGTGCCTTGGTGTCTGAGAGGCATGTGGGGCAGAGAAGGCAGACAGGGAGGTCACGGAGGCTAAAGGTGAACCCCAGTGGGCCACAGATTGCCTCGGTCCACTTAGGTGAATGAAGGCCATTCATCTGCCCACCCACTATTTGTGGTTGCTCATTCCTAATTTAGGGCCTGTTCCTTCAGACTCAAAACAGAGAAAACTGAACTTACTGGGGATTCTAAGCCAATTACTATTCTACTTATTGACATTAGCAGGTCCAATTGAAGCCAATGGGACTACTCTGAGTGACTACTTATTTTGAGAGGGGAAGGTGTGTCCTTTGACAGCACAAGTAAGGGCTGGAGGGGGGCAAAATTAATTTCATTTTCCTGAAGACAGTCTGGCTTTCTAAAATTTGAGAAATGCTTCCTTAATTCAAAAGCTTTAAAAACTATAAAGGTTTATTCAGAATGAAGATTACTGAAATTAATATTTTGTATGAGATTTTTAAAATGCCATGTTATTGATAATATTTTGCCTGTCATGTTTAAATCAATAAAAAAGTACTCTCAGACACATGAGAACAAAGTTATGTGATTCTCATCCAGAAATAAAGTGATAAGTTCAAAATTATGTTACTGGCCTAGGGCATTCTAGATGATTGATGAGCTGTGAAACAGCAACTATGGGTCAAATTATGGGCCAAAAATCTCCATGCACATTGAATTATTTGATTTACCTAGAGTAATTTAGCCAATTATTGCATGGTTTCTGAAAAGAACTAATCAATGTACCTACTGTAGAATGAAACCCCACAGAATCATTCATAGGGTGTGTCTAGACTACAGGGTTTTGTTGACAAAAGTCCACTTTTGTTGACAAAACTATACCTGCGTCTACACTACCGCCGAGTTCTGTCGACATAATGTTGACAGAACTCGACAGTTTTGTCGACGGCAGTAAACCTCATTGTACCAGGAATAATGACTGTTGTCGACAGAGTTCTGTCGACAGAAGGCATTATTGCATCTACACTGTCCTGTGCGTCTACACTCTCATTGTTGACAAAGCGGCTTGCTTTGTCGACAGAACTGGATGTAGTCTAGATGCTCTTTGTCGACAGAAGCTTTGTCGACAGTATCTGTCGACAAAGCCTCTGTCGACAAAAGCCTGTAGTCTAGACGTACCCATAGTGTGAAAAAAGTAACATCAAATCTACTCTGAAATCTGAGAACTTGCATAATAGAAGCAAGGCTGTATAAAGTGAACGTAGCATCACTTTTTAAAAATATATTAGAATTCTTTTATAATTATGTTAAATCAGTAAATAGATGCTGTGCTTTATGTTTTCTAAGGCCCATATTGGCTTCAGTGAATGCTGGATTGAGCCATAATGCACTTCTGGGTTCAGAAATCAAAATGCAAACCTTTACTGCCATGTGGTTTACAATAAGATATGAAGTGCATAGTATTACAGACTAATAGTGAAGAATGTGTTGTTTTCCATTAACATTTATTTTTCATGGTATGCTGATATTGCACTCCCCAGGCTCTTGTATTTACTTACGCAAATTATCAAGCATGGTATGGTGCTTAAGTAAATATTATGCATAATGCATGGACTTCTTTCAAGAAAGTGAAAATTGAATAATAGGACAAACTGTAAGTTAGAAAATTTTGAAATTTTCCTTTTTCATATCAACAGAAATTACTGAAAATCTAAGGCATTTTCTACCAACAGTTTACACAGGCATATGCAATGCATATAATTGTACTGGAAAACAGAAAACTCAGAGGAACCCCCTTTGAGAATTCTTTCATAGGAGTTTCACAGTCCAAAGCTTGTGTATTTTATAAATATCTGGAGATTGTTTTTCTTATGTGTTCTCTTTACGTAAATTTTAATTTGAGCCTTTTATGCATGTAATTTAGACTTAGAAATTGTATTTTTCAGCATCACCTATAAGAGAAGTAGACATAGGGCCTCTTCCTTCAGCCCTTGCTTACTCCGTTAATCCTTACTTATGTGAGTATTCCCACTGATCAAGGATTACTCACACAATTAAGAGATTGCAGGCTTAAGTAGTGGGAATAATTTAATTTTCATTTTGAAAGAGAGGCACTTGTTAGTACTCTAAGATCTAATGATTTATTACATGTCATCTTCTTTCATAGTAGCAATTTTTGCACTTGGTGACTTAAAATATGACCTTTTTTACTGATAAATAACTGTACTGGTTAAATTAGCATGATTTACTTACATTATTTCAAATAATCTTTTTGTGTTAAGACAGGCAAGTAGGTCACGTGTTTATTTGTCTCTGGTTTATGGCTTGCAGATATTTTCTGTTACCAACAACACAGAATGCGTGAAGCTACTGGAAGAAATCAAATGTGCACACTGCTCACCACATGCTCAGAATTTATTCCATTCACCTGAGAAAGGGGAAGCATCTGAAAGAGAACTAGCTCTTCCCTTCCTGTGCAAAGACTATTGTAAAGAATTCTATTATACTTGCAGAGGTCAAATACCAGGTAAAACCTATTGCAAAATAATGGACTAAAGGATGTCTAAATTTAAATGCTCTATATTGCTTAAGAAAACATGGATCAGATCCTGCAGTCCTCCATCAGGGAAAACCCCAGAGACATCAAGGACTGCAGAATCAGGACCATCAAGGTAGATCTTCCTATTTAAGTGAATATTTGGATTTTTTTTCCTTCACAGCCATCTCTTGAGTTTCTAGAAAATGATATATATTGTAACTTTTAAAATCACCAGAATCAATTATTTTCTATACTGAAATTTCACTTTGTTCACCCAAAGCATAAAAACAATTAGCCAACCATGAAAGCCTTTCTAATGATACATTGTTTTGAAATGGAAAAAAAGAGAAGCTGTCTTTTGTAGGTAATATAAAGACATTGAATATTTAAGATATCCTTTCCTACTTTGTTAATCACCTACATTATTGTTTTCAAACATGCTCCAGGATTCAAAGCCCACTGAAATCAGTAGGAATCTTTCCACTGACTTCAGTGCCCTTTGAATCAGTTCCATGATGTTGTTAACAATATGGGCCCAATTCCCAGCCTTTAACTGACTCTGAAGTGCCCTGTCATAGTCTGTGGATTTACCCTGACATAATCAAAAGCGGAATTTGGTCCCTGGAGCCTGTAGCCATCACACAAATATTTCCTATCACCTTTACACAAGATTGCCAAAATGCCCTGCAAAAGCAGCTGTACTTAATATGTGTGTATGTATATATATGTCTTAAAAAAAGTATGTTAAACAACATCAACAGTAATTACAGGACTAAAACATTTATATAATTATGATTGCCCTTTCTTCATGAAAGCTCATCATCTAATAAACCATCTTGTTAGTCTTTAAAGTGCTACATTGTCCTGCATTTTGCTTTCTTCAACTGTTCCTCAATCCCTATCCAAACCATGTTGGCACTACAGAAAAAAGTTAAACTAGTGGGATTTTGAGGAGTGTAATTTAAAAGAAAATAATGTAGTTTTGAGTTAGGTAAGATCATGACAAATTTGTGACTAAACATTTATAATATGAACAGTTCTGTAAAACTGCAACATAAAAAACATTAGAGCTGTGTAATAGGTAAGGCTTTAAGTGGTGAATGTTTGTATTGCTTATGATGCACTTTGTTTTCTTTGAACTCCCAGGGGTGCAGGACTTTTCTGTAGTGTTCTCTTATTGACTTGCAAAAACATTTTGAATAGTGTTGCTTTTTCCCTTTGGTGTGGTTTAACATGTATCTAAACCCATTCAAATATGAAAATATTATTATTGCCTTTATAAACTACAGAGATGTTTCTAAGGCTTTCTTAAACCAGCTGTTTCTTGCTCTTTATCACATTCCCCAGAGCAAAGCAGAATATCATAGCTGCCAAGACTGCCTGCTGAGCAGAGATAACAGAGTAGATATTGTAAATGTTTGGCCCATCCTGGAAGCCACCACAGAGTATTTTTTTAAATACGAGTTTGTAACGAACCCAAATGATGAGTGTATTCTGCTGAACATTTACATAATCTTTTCATTAGAGTCTAAATTTCTGAGAAAAAATGCTCTATAGGAAAAAAAGTTAAGGAGGGAGGAGAAGGAGAGAGGGAATGGGCTAAGCAGCACAGGAGCTACAGCCTGAGGATCCTAACTCCCCAGATCAACATATGTGGTGACGAATGACAAATTTATTTTTCTACAAAGTTTGTGTATATGTAAAACTGCTGAAGTGCATCAAGATGTCAAGTGCTTTTTGTGACCACCCAGGTTGCCTTGAAAGATAACCAGATGAAAGCATAACTTTAGCACTGGACAGAGCACTGTGCTTTGCAGGAAAGCGCTTACAAACGAGCTAGAATAGGATTTTTCCTACATCAATCAGATGCTAATAATCGTTCTAAATACTTGTTCTGAGAGTGGGCTGCACTACAAAAAGTCGTTGCATACTTATGTCGAATAGGGTTAATTGATTTGTTTGGCAGAGTGGTCATTGGCACATGTATTAATATTTCATGAAGGTATTGAAATTCAGGTCACACTTTTTGGGAAAGTGACCTATAGAATCCTAAAAATGACGAGTAGGCCAGTGGCACCTTAGAGACTAACAAAAATATATAGAATCATGCTCATGATTAAATATATTTTGGTTAGTCTCTAGGGTGTCATAGGACTATGTGTTGTTTTTAAAGTTATAGACTAACATAGCTATCCCTCTGAGACTACAGAATCTTAGAGTGTCCTTAAAAATATATATACATTCATTTAAAAACAAATTCACAGTTCATTTGAGTTTTATAATCCATGTGTGAGATCTGTGTTTCCCATTTAAAAGTTTTACAAACTTTACTAGTATTGAAAAAATAAACAAAAAAAATCCACAGCCTGTGTTTCATTATTTAGATTGCTTGACATGAACTGCAAAGGACAAGTTCTTGTGAGGCAATGTGGCTTGGAAAAATATGTACAGGGCTAGGAGGTGAGCCAGCCCAAGTTCTAGTCATGACTCTGCTAGAGATACACTGTGTGGCACTTAGCACATCAATTAATTCCTCACCCTCAGTTTCTCCATCGGTGCAGTGAGGGAATAATATTTACACAACTACACAACAGGGGAGTTACAAGGAGTGGTGTTGTTCGAACCAAGGGCTTTGGTTTGAACTAACGTGTCCCGCACACACTTCCTGGTTCATATCAGCTGTGATTCGAACTAGCGCGCTGGGCAAGATCTTGCTAATGAAGTATGGGATATTTAAATCCCCGCTTCATTAGCTATTTTGGTTCACTACATTTGCATCCCTAGTCCAAACTAGCAAGACGTACCCTTACTAACTAACATTAAAAATCCATCCACAGTTCTTTCTCCATCTGCAGGTCAAAAATACTAGTAGGCACTTAGCCTTATTCAACTGATTCATTTAAAAATACCTATGAAATAGTATATTTTCATCACTAATTATGAGATTGAGATTGCATTTTTATGCAT